CAGCTGTGAGCCTTCCAACCTTCTAAGTATTCCTTTATATGTGGTTCAGAGTTCTGGGACCATCCCCTGAGCCTGCTTGTTCGGGTATTCTGTGTTGTTGTTGGCGGATCTCTCTGCTATTCGTCCACCCGATCCGCCATCTTGTTTGTTCTCCCTCCATCATTTGACTTTTAATTTGCTTTTGTCTTTGTGTGTAAGATGTGTCTGTTGCAGACAGCATATTGTTATCCATTCTGCCACCCTCTGTCTCTTAACAGGTGCATTTAATCCGTTTACATTCAATGTAATTATCAATAGATATGGATTAATAGCTGCCATAATGTTTGCTTTTTTGTGGTGTTTCTGATTTCTTTGTTCTCTGTGTCTTCTTTTGCTGAGTTTATACTTTTTGTGTTCTTTCTTGTCAGTTTCCTCATAGTTTTAATGTTTCCATATACTTGGATTTTCGTTTTCTTGTTATGTTGTGAAATGTTCATTTTCTTTGAAGTTACCTTATATTCCACTAACTTTTCCCTCCATTTAGTACAGTCTATTTTGTCATGTAATCTACCTGACCTTCTCACCATCTGGATCTCTGTTCCTACGTGTTTACCTTCCTCACATTGTAATTGTTTTGATCATAGACTGATCTCTCCCAGATTCTCTGAGTTTGTTCTTATAGTTTTTTCTGTTCTTGACTCTTCCATCTGTCAATTTAGTTCTGGGAGGTGCTGCCATATATGTCAGTCTCTGGTTGTTGTCTGTTCTTGTTGGTTCTCTGTCCACAGAACTCCCTTTAGGATGTTTTATAGTGCAGGATTGGCTTTGGCAAATTCGCATAGCTTCTGTTTATCCTGGAATGTTTTAATTACACTGTCGTATTTGATTGATAATTTTGCTAGATAAAGGATTCTTGGTTGGCAGTTTTTTTTTTTTCTTTCAGAGTTTTATATATGTCTCCACATTGCCTTCTTGCCTGTATGGTTTCTGCTGACAGGTCCAAGCTTAATCTGACTTGCTTGTCTTTTTATGTAACGGTTCTCTTTTCCCTAGCTGCTTTCAGGATTGTTGCCTTATCTTTGGTTTTGGAGAGCTTGATTATGATATGTCTCAGTGATTTTCCTTTGAGGTCTATTCTTCGTAGGGTTCGTTGAGCTTCTTGAATGTTTATCTTTTGACTTTTTACGATGTTAAATAAATTTTCTTCCAGCAGTTCTTCATCTATTTCCTCTGTGGACTTGTGTGATTATTCCTCTTCATGTTGTCTAACATGAATCTTAGACCTTCTTCAGTTTTTAAATCCTTTTCTGTGTTTGTTCTTCTGTCTTAGTGTTATTGAGAGATTTGCCTTCCAGCTCACTCATTCTGCCTTACATCTCTTCTATTCTACTCCTTTGCCTTTCCAGTGTATTGTCTATTTCTGATATTCTATTATTGGACGTTTGGACCTCTGTCTGTAGGTTTTGAATTGTTTCCAATGCTGTATCTATCTTATTTGATTGTTCCTGTAGCCCTTTCCTAATTTCTTCCTTATATTTCTCAACACCATATAAAGTGTTTTGACATATTTTATAATCATTTTTCTGAATTCCTTCTCAGGCATTTCCAAGGCCTGCCCTCCTTCCAGAATGGAGTCCAGGTCTACCTCTCGGTCATTTGTCTCAGACATTATATCTTGTTTCTGGACATGTGCTGATATGGTCATCTGCTTTTGCTTCTTGGACATGTTTAGTGTTTACCTGTGGCCTTAATACTTAATTGAGTGTTTGTTTTGTTTTTTTTAATGCTTTCTGATTGCCTCCTGGTAGAGGTGATCAGGATGTGGGCTTCTCTTTTCACTCTTCTTATTGCTCAACTCAGAGTAACTTTCTCAGGTGTTTTCTGCCTCCTTGGTGTATGGCAGTTGGTATTGTGGAGTTTTATAGGGTGTGATTGTAGCCTGAATATATGGCAGCAATTACTGTCTCTTCTTGGGTAATATAGGGAGAGAAAGAGTCTCCCAAAGGTAAAAGGGGGAATAATAAACAACAAAACAGCAACAGCAAAAAAGAGAAAAGAAAAAAATAAATAAAAACCACCAAAAACAACAACAACAAAAAACTAGATTGGATACTGTAGTCTATTAGCGAAGAAAACAGAGAGGAGGGAGAGAAGAAAAAGGAAAAGAAAAAAGAAATCTGTAGCGTAATAGGAGTATGATTTTAATATCCTCTTTCAGCTTCTTGCCTTTCAGGCTGTATGATATATATTTTTTAATGTTTTATTGTGACTTTTGTGATTGTTTACGTGGGAGAACATTAGTTTTACATTCATCCTATCCTATATCATTTCATTGCCACGGTTACAATCCCTTGCATGCATCATCAACCAACCAAATGATGGTTGTTATGCTCTAGCTTAGGATTTAATTTTCAGCTTGTTTTGTTTTTAAACACTCTCCCTCACCACATCCCTAGTTCTGGCCTTTTCCCTATCAATAAACAGTTCAGGATTGGCTGCTGAGCTGCCTGTTTCTGCAAATGCTGAGAGTATTTATACGCATGCAAGGTAGAAGAGCCCACCTGTGGTGGGGAGTGTCCACTCGCTCAGGCACCCTCTCTAGTCACCAGAATGGAGGTGCACAGTGGGGGGGGGGCATTGAACAGATACCAAAAGAGAAAAATCAAAACAAAGCAAATCTGACAAAGTATTTTGTCCACCTTTGCTCCGAGGTTTCACGGAGTTATTCCGTGGTAGAACTGCTTGCTCCCCTGCTTGGTATTGCTGTTTGGTCTTGCCTAAGTTGTCGGCTCTGGTCCACCAAGCCCAGCAGATTCTAAAGTATGGGATTTCTTACTTCCGCTACAAGTTCTACTAGCTATAAGCCTTCAAACTTTTAAAATATTATTAGATGTTTGGTTCAGAGTTTGGGAGCTCTGCCCTGAACCCGCTTTATCTGGTATTCTGTGATAATGCTGACGGAAAACTTCACTGCATCTCTGAACTCTGTTTTGAGTTGATCATTTTCTATATTTAAAATTTTTGTGTTAGCTATTTATGTCAGGAACTTATATCAAAGTACTAAACATGCCTACATTTTCATCTGTAAATAGCTATAAATATTCCACAAGTAATAATTAGCTTTATTCTCTTATTCTAATTTTGTAGCTATCATTATTAACTATGCGAATGAAATGTTTGTCTGCTGAACTCAAGCAATGGCAGAAAGAAACTCCCAAAAGTAAGTTTTATTTTTAGGTTTGTATTCCTACATGCAAAGTAACAGAAAATGCTTTAATGATCATAAGAAGAATTACAAGATTCATTTAGCCTCCTTGAAATTGCCTAAATTAAATTTAATGGGAGACCACCACATCTTTTCTTTCTCTATGTACATGTTTATTTTATTATTATTTGTTGTTGTTGTTGTTGTTAATGTGCCGTGGAGTCGGTTCCAACTCATGGTGACCCTGTACAGGTTTTCCAGGGCTGTAAATCCTTACGGGAGCAGAAAGCCTCATGTTTCTCCCGCAGAACAGCTGGTAGTTCACAGCCCGATTTGTAACCACTACGCTACCAGAATGTCTAAAATATATCTGCCTAATTTATATCTGTCTAACATTGTTAAATGCTCTCGTGTCATTTCCAACTCATAACGATGCTGTATACAGTTTCCGAAGTTTTAAATCTTTGCAAAATCAGAAAGCCTCTTCTTTCTCCCACTGAGCTGCTAGTGGGCTTGAACTGCAGTCCATTGCTTATCCTGTGGAACCGCCAGACTTAGTTGTTGTTGTTATTAGGTGCCATCAAGTCAGTACTGACCCATAGCAACATTATGCACAACAGAACGAAACACTGCCCGATCCTGGGCCAACCTCTCTACTATTGCCACACTTGAATCCATGGATACTGCCACTTGACCAGTCCTTCTTGTTGGTGGTCTTCCTCTTTTTCTCTGACCTTCCACCTTACCAAACATGATATCCTTCTCCAGTGACTGGTCCTTCGTGACAATATGTCCAAAGTATGAGAGACGAAGTTAGGCCATCTTGGCCTCCAAGGAGCACTCTGGTTGCACTTCGTACAAAACAGACCTATTGGTTCTTTTGGCAGCCCATGGCACTTTCAATATTCTCCTCAAACCCCATAACTCAAAAGCATCAATTCGTCTACGATCTTCCTTATTCACTGTCCAGCTTTCGCATGCATATGAGGTTATTGAAAATACCATGGCTTGAGTCATGCACACCTTAGTCATCAAGCTGACATCTTTGCTCTTCAACACTTTGATAGTTGATCCAAGAAGAATGAAGTCTGTCAGTTTGTCGTACTGTGGTGGCCAGACTTAGTAGAAGCTATAAATTATGTCCTCAACAAATTAATCTTATTTAGTGATGGAAAAAAGTTATTTAATTTATTTATTGATGTAAAGGCTACTTAGGTTATATATTGCCTCTTGATTTGTCCAGCCATGCCAACTGTATTATTGCCTTTAGTTGAGAAGCACAAGCTGGCTTAAAAAAATTTATATCTGTATCAACAACAAAAAGACAAACAACAACTTAATTTTAAAATGAGCAAAAAATTAAAAAAACTAGTTCTCCAGTGAAGATATACAAATGACTTATAAGCACATGAAAAGGTGCTCAAGTTCATTAGTCATTGCATTTATTACCTGCCATCAAGTTGACACCAACTCTCATCAGTGCCATGTACTAAGGGACCTGACTGTTCTGATTCATGATGCACTATATTGCTAGACCTTTCTTGTTAGTCTGTGTTAGTCTGCTGAAACCAGTTCAGAGGGGTATTTTAGAAAACCATAGAATTCTTGATTTTTGAACATTACGTAAGTATATTTATAAATTTGGTTTGTTTTTGTTTCTATAGTTATTCCACTGAATGAAGACGTTCTAATGTCATTAGGAAAAGAAGAGGTAAGTCTTTTAATAAATTGGTAGTAATCCTAAATAATTTGTAACTAAAATAGTTATGGGTAAACTAATAATATAAGAAATAGAATGAAATCTCTTTCAAGCCATATTAATTTTTTAAATTTATATTTTAATTACATTTTATTGAACAGAATATCTTAACAGATTTGAATTTTGAACTCATTTTTATCAGTTGCCAAGGTTTTGTTTTGTTTTTCCAAAGCTTTTATTGTGCATTGAGTGATAGTTTACATGGGAGAACATCAGTTTTAGACTCATCCTCTCATATTTCGTATCATTGCAATGATTACAATCCCTTCCATGCATCACCATTCAACTGTATTTACTGTTATTCTCTCTGGTTTTTTGTTTGTTTGTTTGTGTTTTATTTTTTTATGTTCACGAAAACACTCAGGAATAGATAATCATTTTAAAAACCCAAGGGCACATTCTGCAAGCCTGCCTCCTGGTCACCAAGCACACAACCTTTCTCTTTCCATGAGTCTAGAGTCCTCAGCTGCTGTATTTCTTGATGTCATCATCTTTGCCTCCATCTCTGGTGTCACTGATTCTCTGGATAGGGTTCCACATTCCATTCATTCTCTTCTTCCTTGATGGATCTAGGGTCCTCTGTTCCTGGAATGTAAGAATAACTGTTGTTGTTGTTGTTGTTATGTGCCATGGAGTCAGTTTCGACTCACAGCGACCCTGCATAAGGTTTCCGAGGCTGTAAATCTTTACAGGAGCAGAAAGCCTCGTCTTTCTACCGTGGAACAGCTGGTAGTTTCGAACTGTTGACCGTGAGATTAGCAGTCCGATTCGTAACCACTACGTTACCAGACTCCTTGTAAGAATAACTACACCCCCTTTATGTTAAAAAAATTCTACCTTTGCAGTTGTGAGCATCACAATTAGTCATGATAACAATTACTCACTATTGAATCATAAGAATCTTATCCCCATC